ACATTTTAGTATATAATAGACCCTCCTCGTCTGTAGGGTATCTTTTAAAGCCTTTAGTGGATGCTTAAAACAAGACAGTACCAAACTTATGCTATCTTTCCTATACATATTCCATGATAAAATTAAGAACTTCACATTTTCACTTAAAGAAAATACTTTATGGCTCTTCTTTGGCATGCAAATTGATAATATTATTGCTCTTGCACTTTTACATTATTAAGCAAAATTAGTGTTAGTTGAGCATAAGCACTCTGTAAGAGTCAATCTGAGGATTGTGGTGAGAACTAAGGAAAAATATAATGAAGTTAACTTGATGTTTATTAAATAATGCTCAATTTAAAAAATTGTGTAAATAATACTTTCCCTTACTATTTTATTTTCTTTCTGCTAATCTTCTCTGACGATCATCCTTTTGACAACTTTTTTTCCTCTAAATTGAACCCAGGCTCTCATGCACGCTAAACAAGTGCTCTACCACTAAGCTGCACCTCCAAGGACTCTAGCACTGAGCTTCAGTCCCAGGCCTTCTACTTCTAAAGATCTTGCACATAAAAACTGACACAGAAGACAGGCTGAAGACAATGACAATTTTTGATGTTTTTCTTGCCAGTGCATGCTAAGCCTCAGGGCATCCTCCTGCTTTCCCCAGTGACTGTAGCACCTGGCCTGCTCTTCTCTACTTTTTTTTTTCTTTCATCTGTGTGGATGAATGAACATACTAGTTGTGCTGAATAGCTTTAGTGTCAACTTGGCACACCTGAGTTGAGGGAGCCTCAAATGGGGAATTACCTTTATTGGACTGGACTGTGGCCATGTCTGTGGGGTATTTTCTTGACTGTTGAGTGATGTGGGAGGGCCCAGCCCACTGCAGGTGGTACCACCCTGGGCAGGTGGTCCCGTGTTGCATAAGAAAGCAGGTTGAGCATGGGCCAGGGGAGCAAGCCAGCGTTCCTCCATGGCCTGTGCTCCAGCTCCTGCCTCCAAGTTCCTGCCCTGAGTTCCTACCTCGAGCTCCCTCAGAGATGAACTATGACCTGGGAATGTAAGCTGAACAAACCCTTTCTTCCCCAAGTTGGTATTGGTCAGAATATTTTATCACAGTAATGGACACACAAACTAGAACACTAGTCATCCTGTTCCCGGGCCTCCAGTCACCCCAACGCCATCTTGGTATCTACCAACAGGGAAACCATTCAGATTATTTATTAGAACCATTATATCTTATACTTTAAATTGTGAGATTCTCTCCTTTAATGAGGATTCCTTTTTAACTAATCACAGTGAATTTGGATTTGATTCTGATCCCTGTTTTCTCTGTTCTGACCCCATTTTTTACCTCTTCTATGTAAGCATTTTTGGCTACTACCCACTTCAGTGATAGTCTTTGAAGGAGCCTATGGTCACCCCTACCCATTACTAACTTTTTCTCAACTCTTGAGCTGGGAAGCACTGCTGTAGGAAGCCACAGGGCCATTCCACATTGTTCTCTATAGTATTCTTTAGCGCTTTGTTGAACCCTCACGTCAACATTATCTTCACATACTGCTGGTTTGTTCTTTTTTAAAGATTAAAAAAAAAAAATTCGTGGGGCTGGAGATTGCTCAGTGGTTAAGAACACTTTCTGCTCTTGCTAACAACTACCTGTAACTCCAGTTCCAGGGGATCAAATGCCCTTTTTGACCTCTGCAGGCACTGCACACATGTGGTGCACATAATATATGCAGGCAAAACACTCATTAATCTTTAAAACTGTTTATCATTATTGTGTGTGTGTAGGTCAGAGGACAACTTTGTGGAGTCAGATCTCCTGCCACCCTTATGGGGGTTCTAGGGATTAGACACAGGTCATCCAGCTTGTGTAGTAAGCACTTTCAACTACTGAGCCATCTCACCAGCCCCTGCTAGTTATTTCTATTTTGCCCAGCATGATGACCTGAGTTTGTTCTCTGGAACCCACATGGTAGGAGGTAACTCCTGAAAGTTGTCCTTTGACCTCCACATATGCATTGCAGAACACATACACACACACAAATATAAACTTTAAAAAAACTTATTCTTCAATCTACTATACTTTTTCCATTCTTTTATAACATCCATAAAAAAATAGTCTTGGGTCAATGACATGGCTTAGTGGGTAAAAGCACTTTTTGTGCAAGTCTGATGACACAAGTTTGACCTCCAGAATCCATGACAGGAGAGAACCAACTCCCCAAAGTGGCCCTCTGACCTCCACACATGCACTGTGGAACATAAGCATCCACACTCAAACCTGTCTCACACGCAACAAAAAACACCAGAGTATTCTTTACACATCCTTCTTATCTTCATTCACTCTAAATTATGATTTGTGCTCCTGCAAAAGTTCACATTTGGCATTTATAAGGCTGAATAAATGGGGAATTAGACTTTTGAAAAATTCTTTGGTTTTTCAGATAACATTACTAAATATATGTGTTCTTTCTGGGAGTCTAGTGTTCTAATGGTAATGTCTTTGTCCCAGTAAAAATCCTTAGACTCTGAGCCTGAAGTGGGCTTCCCTTGGGGGTGGGGGTGGGGCACAGGGAAGCAATGTATAGATTGTTCTAGGTTTTACATTTCTTTCCCTTTGCAGATCCTGTGGTGTATCTTTTCCTTATAAGACTATAGCCTCTGAGTTGTACAAGTTACCAAATGTGTGGGAAGTTGCAGGGCTTCTAAGAATGTCCTTCCCTGCTACTCTCAATCAAACATCTAAAAGATTGAAGTAATCATAAAAAGTGCCTCCTTTACTTAGGCTTGCCCTATCCTGACCCACTCTCACTTCAGCCATTCATACAGCACTTAGTGAATGCCTGTGTGTGCCAGCCACTGTGTTGGGTAGAAATCAGTGATACTCATGGTTTACAGAGGAAAAAAAAACCCCAAACCCTAAAAACATGATGGCACAAACTGACAGAAGTACTGCTACTTGATTAAAAATGTACTTCAGTGATGTGGCTGTGGAGACAGCATTGAAACTCACAAAGTGTTTGCTAAAGAACTCAAAGTGGTGTATTATAGCAGAGCTCATGTGCCAAGGCTTATCTTCCAGGAACTGAGAAGCCTAGCAGTTTCTGGAGCACCAGCGGAAGAGTAGAGAAAATGAGGGTAGCAAGACCCTGATCACGTACAGCTTTTTATTTTATTTTTGAGACAAGGTCCCTATAGCCCCGGCTGGCCTGGAGCTTGCTATGTAAACCAGGCTGGCCTTGATCTCACTGAGATCTGCCTGACTCTGCTTCTGGAATCCTAGAATTAAGGTTTGTGCCATTATTCCCAGCTTCATACACAGCTTTTAGGGCCTGGGAAAACAGTGAATTTAATCAGCCACATGGTACGAGATAGCTTTTTTTTTTTTTTTTTTTAAAGAGAGCACAGAAGGCTGGTGAGAGGCTGTTAGTTGCTTCCCCAATCCTAATGGCTGTAGTTCAATTTCCAGGGGCCACATGGAAGGAAAGAACCAACTCTACCTAATTGTCATCTGCCTCCACATGTGCACTATGGCACATGCAGGCAGTATACACACACACACACACACACTGTAAAAAAAAGATAGTATGGAGTCCTATAAGATTTTAAGCTCAATGATCTCTCTCCTTTGGTGACTACCTCCTCCTCCACACATTTATCAAGTCAAAGACTAACCCTATAACCCTCATCCAAATGTGAGTTACTGCTTCAATTATCAGGGGGAGGATGACTATATTTCAGAAATTTAAGTTGTTCTGGAGTCATAGCCCTGCCACTTATTATCAGTATGTTCTTTGAAAAATTATTTTGTTTCTCTAAGCTTCATTTTTCTCATTTGTAAAGTGGTGTCATAAATACTACCACATAGGTTTTGATAAGTAAATTAATTCACAGACAAAACATTCAGGGCACAAGCTGCACATACCAACTGAAGTTCAACATTAGTTCACTTCAGGATCTCTTTGCCTCCATGTGCCCTGAGTTAAAATACACTAGCACCCACTTAGCTCTTTACACTGATAGTTCTGTTCCTATCGGTGGTACTAGTCAGAGATTCCAAATCACCAAACCACAGTCATCTCTCTTTGCTTCTAATTCCTTTGCCACACTGCAAGGAAAAACCTAAAATTGGAGACTGCTGCTAAGTATTATTTTTACTTCCATTTGTATCTAAGGTGAAGATTACGGCTTCTTTTACTCATGAACAAATGTTAAAATTGAACGTCCACTCTAAGAGTCAAGTAATTGTACTAGGTTCCTAGTCTAATCTTTTGTCCTTTAGATATGATTTCTATATTTGATCTAAAAAGAAATGTATTTAAAGTTTGTACATTTGTTGACAAGAAATGAGAAAAATCCCTCTAAATAATCAAAATAATTGCAAAAGATCAGTGGGAAGCAAAACTAGTAAAAATATCTAAGCTTACTTTACTATTTTAATGTTCTCAACATTACCAGTTCAATTATGGGTACAAAAAAGGTTCAATGGGGGTGGCAGGATCGCTCAATGCAGCCAAGCCTGATGACTTGAAGCCGATCCCAGAAACCTAAACAGTTTAGGAAGTTGAAGGAGAGAACCAACTCCCATAAGCTGTTCTTTGACCTCCATACTCGCACTGTGGCATGTGCACACCCCCCACCCTTCAAAAATCGGTTCAAATGTGGAATGAGGCAAATAGTGCAAGCTAGGCAAGCCAAGAAGATAGAGACATCAGTCATCCCTGCTGGTCCTCCAGCACAGCACCAGCATGTCTTCTGCATGTTACTGAACCAGGTGCACAATGCACTTGTTTAGGGTGTCATTTCATTAATAGCTGACTTCTGAACTTGTTCTTTTCACAGAAACTTAATTATAGTTTTGGAGCTCACTTTCTCTTCTAAGTCAAAACTGCCTAAATTCTCCAAATGTCAAAGGCTGATACTGAATGAGGCAGCTATACTGGAAACCATAGCACAAAGTCAGATAGTATAGCCACAGGCCTTGGCCTTGTCACATAAACATGTACAAAATATGAATGATACCAAAGAATTTATTGTAAATGTCATGGCAAATACACTCTGAATAATCATCATTAAAAAGGAACTAGAAAAGTATGTGTTGAAAGTATGTGCTTTTTCTTCCCGCCATCTTTGGGTTAATGGCAAGGACAAGTATTTTAGGTAATGAAATACTTAATGGGATGTGCGATCTTCACAAAATTTTAAGACTGTATCTTCATCTTAAAGGCAGTTAACCATGAATTTCAGTATTAGTTATTCTCTGTTTTTATCAATTCTATGATGATCTGTAGAATCTTGTCATCTGAGGGAATGAAAAAAAAGAAAAAAACCTAAGAATAAATGCAAAACTGGCTAATTTTCCAATGCATACACATATAAACAAGATGTATACATTATAAGACTGTTAAATTAGACTATCAAGTAACACTAGCTATATTCACTATCATGCGAGAGGTGCCCAGAAATATCATATTTGTTGCCCTACAAGAGTTACATTAATGATCATTAGTGTTATACCAATTTTTCTTTCTCTTTTTTCTTTCTTAGGGGAGAGTGCGAACGCAGTCCCCCACTACCGCAAATTATGCAATCGAGTTTCCCGCATTTGGGGAAATTGCAGGGGTCAGCACATCCCAAGTGCAATAGATGAGCCTCACCCTGGGAAAACCACCTTCCTGATCATGGTGTCGCCCTTGTCAGGTAAGTATAATGTTATACCTATTTCAACAAAAAGTCAACATTTTGTAGAAAGAAGTTAACAAGGTATTTATAGGCTAAGGCCCAGAGAGATAATGGGCTATAATTGTATTTTCTATTTTTGCTGTTTTTTAGACAAGGTCTTCATAGCCCATACTGAGCTAGAACTCACAATCCTCGACTTCAGCCTCCCAAATGCTGGGATCATGTGAGCCACCATGCCCACCTGTTAGTTCTACAAGTAATTAATTCTTTAAAAATTCTTTAAAAGTTCCTCAATTGTTTCACTTAGCTGAAATACACTGAAGGCTCTATTGACTCTTCCCTGTTTTGCAGAATGTGACAGGATTTCTATAGAATGGGAAAAAGGTAATGTTATCTGTCTCCCCAGGTTTAGACCAAAGGAAACAAACTCTCAAGGGGAAGTGCTCTTGCAGAGGTGTCAAAGGAAGTGACAGGCTTCTCTACACAACAAAAGGATCAAATACCAACTGAATTTGACAAATAGAGCAAGAGGTGGCATTATTTGCTAAGGTGGTTTTATTAACAGCTGCTCTATTTTTAAATAGCTCTGAAATTGTGACTTCCTAAGAACCCCATAGCTACTCTCACATATGGATTCTTGGAGCTAAGGTGGTATTAAGAAAAGAAAGAGGTGGGAAAGAGGGGAAGGGAGAAGAAGGGAGGGGAGACCACTCGTTGGGACTGGAACAATGATATCTAACGAGGAATTATTTTTAATTTGAGTTAAGCGTGCAAGAAAGCACAAGGGTAACAGATACTTCTTTTTCTCATCTGGGTTTCTATCACAACTTATCTTTATAGTAAGGCCAGAAAGAAAGGTCACCAAAGTGAGTGACTTTTCCCAAGTCAAAATTCATACAACCCACAGCTCAATTCTTAACATCATTAAAAGCTGCTGGTAGGTATGGTGGCACACCTCTTTAATCCCAACACTCAGGGCAGAGACAGGTGGATCTCTGTGAGATCAAGGACAGCCTGGACTACATAGTGAGTTCTAGGCCAGTTGGGGCTACAGAAAGACTCTGCCTCAAAAAGACAAAAAAAAAAACAAAACAAAACAAAAAAAAAACCTCAAAACAAAACAAAAACAACAACAAAAACCCAAAACAACAGGAAAAAACCCTATAAAACCAAACTGAAGTGCTTCATGATGCTTTATAGAAAATATAGGTATTAGAGAACACATTAAAGTACGAAGACACAACCAATTAAGTCCTAAATATGAAACATCCTACCAGGAAAACGAGTTTATTAAAGTAATTCACTGCATTACAAAAGGGGGTGATAGGAGACAGGGAAGTATCAACAGAAAAAACGACTAAAACAAAGAAACACAAACACAAGTTTCTTCCATAGAGATCAGTATGTCTGAGACAGGACATTGAGCCTTGTATTATTTATTTATTTTTTAATAACTCGAAGATGATTTTGGCAATCTGTCAAGTTAGGCAAATACTGTACCATGCTAACTGAAAATCAGGTGTTTATTTGAGGTTTCTACTGAAGATTAATGCACTTAATATCAACTAATAGCTGCACATTCATGAGAAATGAGTAGTAGGGAGAACACACTGTGGTTAATACTGAGTAGAATTCAGTATTATGCTGACTTTCTGTGAGATGGACAGTTTAGAAGCAAAAGTAGAAGGATAGAGGAGTAAAAGGCTGTTAATAAGCTGTGAATAGTCACAAACTCTACATGAGTTGAGTGGAATTTAACATAAGTAGATTTTATTCAATTTTATTAATAATCACATCAATGTATGACTGCAGTCATACACACAATTTCTAGAATCAGTCTTTTGGATTTTATTTTTTAAAGTTTTTTATGGGACTGGAGAGATGGCTCAGGGGTTAAGAGCACTGACTCCTCTGCCAGAGGACCCAGGTTCAGTTCCCAGCACCCACAGGGCAGCTAGCAACCATCTGAAACTGTAGTTCCAGGGAATCCAATGCCCTCTTCTGGCCTCTGTGGACACTGCACAACAAAGGTGCACATCTATACATGCAGGCAAAACACTCATACACATAAGACTAAAAATAAATAAAAATTTTGAAGTTTTTATACATTTATACCTGTACAAATGCATCTATCATCCATCCATCCATCCATCCATCCATCCATCCATCCATCCATCCACAAATATGTAATCCTCTAATGTGTAAATGTATACTTTAACCTACGTTACAATAAAACTTACTTTCAAGGGACACCTTTGGATTTTCAAGCTTTTTTCTTAAAATAGAATCAATGAGAACTCTTAGTTGCTTGAAAATGACAGCTATCTTTACCGGAGCCTGTTGAGAGATGTCAGATTGGACAGTTAATTGGGGGAGTATGAATGTGTTTAAGGCTAAGCTTACCTGACTTAGAACATTGGATTTTTAACATATAACACAAGGGGGAATTATGAGCAAATTATCTCTGGGAGGTAAGCTATGAAACCTCTTGACTTCCCTAGTTAGTTTGATATCCCTTCCTATAATAAAGTAACATTATTTCAATAATTCTTTGCCTTTCTTACATGGACTCTGTAGAAAGCTTTGGGAAAGGAAAAATTTTAACAGCTGATTGAGGAATAACTTACAAATCAAAAAAATGTACTCATTTTTAAGTGCTTAATTTCAGATTTTTAGAGTTTTTACCAATATTACTACAACCCAATAACAGAACAATTCAACTACTCCAACTTCTTTACATGAACCAAGTATTTTTAAAGTTGTATGCAGAATTCATCTTTGGAGACCTAGACACACAGTACAGCAAAGTCAGATGTATGGGAACTACTTTAAGCTGGTCAGTGTGAATGGGACTACAGAAGAAAAAAAACAAACTTTCTGCCCAAAATAAGCCCTATCTAATTTATCTAGAGAAGAATTTCCTAGGATGTCTAAAAAAAGCTATGAATATGTTTGGCTTTTGTTATGAATGGCCAAACAAATGTAGCGGAATAAGCTCAAGTTTGGGGACTCAACCAATAACCAACCCATGCAATCTAGGAAAGTTAGATTCTCACCGCACCTCATTGTCTCTGCAAAAAAGAAAATACATTTTGTGATAATCCATATAAAATTAGCTATTGCTATACCTAACACATGGCAATTATAACTATTGCTGATAAATGTATTTTGGGATAGTGACAAGATTTTCAAATTTAGTAGATTTAAAAACCATATATGGGGGGGCTGGAGAGATGGCTCAGCAGTTAAGAACACTGGTTGCTCTTGCAGAAGACCTGGGTTCGAATCTCAGCACCCACATGGCTGCTAACAATTGTCCATAACTCCAGTTCCAGGGGATCCAACAGCCTCTTCTGTCCTCCATGGGCATTGCATGACATGGGTGCACTTACCTACACACAGGCAATATACACATACACATAAAAATAATAAATAAAATTTTTTTTAAAAAACCATATATGCAAAATAAAGAAGTTTTTCATGTAATCAATAAAATCATTTGTACTGCGTACCTGAAAATAGATCCAGCCATCAACAGAAAGAAGACGTTCCCGGTGTTGAACTTCTATGTCACCACCAAACAGCAAAACTGGAAAAGGAGTTATTAGGGTAGTTTCCCTCAAATATACTCGGGCATACCTTACCTACATAAGAAAAAAAAGGGGAAAAACAACTTCATGGTCTAAAAATGTAAGAAATACATGTAGGTATTTTTCATGTATGCATTTTCTATAATTTTTTACAGAAAAATTTTATGTTTTACATATCTAAAGCTATATTTTCTCTTAGGAGAATAATTTTTTAAATTAATAATAATTACTATTTTTGGACTAAAAGACATTATCTGTAAGGTTGAATAATGTGCTTTGACCACAAGTGAAATTAGGTAGAAGCAATTAAAAATTTTTATTTTTATTTATGTGTATGTGTGTGTCTATAAGTGAATGTTAAGTGTGTGTGCTACCTGTGGCAGCCAGAAGAGGGTGTTGGATCTCCTAGAGCTGGAGTTACAGGTAGTTGTGAACTGCCTAACATGGGTGCTGAGGATGAGCAGCAAGTGCTCTTAATCATTGAGGTTTCTTTTGAGCCTGGTGAAGCAATTTTATAATGCTACCGAGTAATGTTACAATATGCTTAAGTTTTTTCAAAATTTCTGGTTTCTAGGTCATTATTCAGCTAGTCAGAAATTCTTCACATTTATATTTAAGTTTGATGGTATATATTGGGAATTTCCAAGCTACTAATTGAAATTATGAATTTTTATTGCTTTAAAGGTCAAAAAAATATGATGTAGATACTCTTTTTAAAAAAGGAGAAGAAATGCACTTCAGTTTGACATGTTTTCTTCTCACACTGCCTTAAAGTCATTATCAGACACATAAGAGAAACCTAAAATATGATGAAGAAACACTCCCATGATAGTGTGCTCCATAGGGTTAGGAGAAGGTAATAGATAGCGATGTAGCTGAGATTTAATTTATCTTAGATGACACTGATTCAAATGGTTTAAATCACATTACTCTACCCAACATACCCTTATTAGAAATGGAACATACATATCCTCTTTTTCTTTTGAGACACTTTTAGTGAACTACTTTAGGAATAGATACACTATTAATGATAGCCACTTGCTGTCTTTATTCCAAGTAGAAAAAAGTGACGGTCAGAAGAGAAATCCTACTATTTGTTTCTTAGTTAATGGAAGAGAAATAAACTTTTTTAGCTTGAGAAACTGCATTTGGATTTCAACTCTGAATAACAAAGAAACAAGTCAATTTGAGAGTGACACAAACTATTTATTAGGGTATCTGAACTTGTCATGAATGAGTTCTAGAGCAATGCACTGAGAATAAGTATTTTACCTTCTCCTGGTATAAAAGCCATCCATAAGTTTGTAAATCTCGATTTACTGAGGACGGATGTACTTGTGCTTTGCCTTGGGCTGTCTCGACAATGCAAGCCAATTTTTCTGTGACATCCACTGACTTTGTATAGATTATCTTCCCCACACTGTCATACAGTCCAGCAGCCAATACAGCTTTAAGAAGGGCAATGTCTTGAAAGGAGAGGGCATGTGAGGCTTCGTTTCCTTCCCAGTTGGTAGAAGTTGCAGATGATGAAAATCCTGCTGCCTTAACCAACTTTATTAATTCCTGCTTCACATCCTAGAGGTTATGTTAAAAAGAGACATAATCATAATTGATTCAAGTAAAGAAATTTTCAAATAGCCTTGTAACTTCGAATAGTGCTTCCTATTAAAATAGATAGGATGTCCAAGTATTGTTTAGTTGACTATGGCCAAAGGCTTGGGTAGAGAAAAAGGATTCTGGGAAGTAAAGGATTAAAAATCAGCTGTCCTCATCCCCTAAAGCCAGAGATGTCGTAAAACATAAGATTGTCTATGAGAGCAACAAAAATGGTCTGAACACATTCTCACTCACCACATCTACTTCAGCACTAGCCCTTCTTTAAAGTTTTTTGGTTGTTTTTACATTTTTAGTCAGTGAGGATGGTCACACTGAGAATAGCACTGGGACAGAACTACAGAGGAATCCTGACAGTAGACTGTAAGAACCTTCCTCATTTGTCTTTGGGAATTCATTTTGATTTCCTAAAGAACTTTGCCAAAGCCTATTAATGGCAACTTCATTTTTAAAAACATAGCTTAAGCAGGGCATGGTGGCACATGCCTTTAATCCTAGCACTTGAGAGGCAGAGGCCAGCCTGGTCTACACAGTGAGTTCCAGGCTAGCTAGAGCTACAGGGAGACCCTGTCTCAAAAAAAGACCGGAAAAAAAAAAGTAGCTTAAATATTTTCTACCTTTAATGGTGCAGATTAGCAAAACGACTATAGGAAGGATGAGGGTGTTTCAAGGTACAGAGGATACTAGTAATCACAAGGTGATGTTTACATTTAGGATATCCTTTAGGTTTCTGGTTTGGAGTTAACAGACTGGTTCCAGGGGAGTAAAGCATAGATGGCCACTGTAACACCACAGGACTGACAAAGAGATCCAAAACCTTGCAGGTCAGGGGAGGTGAGAAAAGGAAGGAGAAAAAAATGGGTAGGAGGCAATTTGGAAGTTGGGGAAGTAAAAAGGAGACAAAGGAGAAAGGGTTAATTTGAAGAAATAACCATTTTGGGGCCAACTAACTGGGATGTTCACATACTGAATCTCAGCTGGCTAAAAAGCGGCTGCTTCCAGGATACAAGAAATACAGGGCAATTTAACTGACTTTTTCAAAAAATAAATCACACTAAGGGGGAAAAAGATTAAGTATAGATTAAGAGACTTAAAAGAGAACATATCAATCAAATTCAATGAGTGAATATTGTTTAGAACATAATTTGAACTAGCTGTAAAAAAATAAAATTATGAGATGATTGAGGATACTTAAATGCCATGCATTTGGTGATATTAAGGATTATTATTATTTTTTTGTCTTTTTGAGACAGGGTCTCCCTGTAGCCCCAGATGGCTGGGAACTCACCAGGTAGACCAGGCTGGCCTCAAACTCACAGAGATCTGCCTGCCTCTGCTTCCCAAGTACTGAAATCAAAGGCATGTGTCACCATGCCCAGCAAGGATTATTTTTTTTAATGTGTAAAAATGTTGAAGAAAAACAGTCATATACTTCAGAATCCATGACTGAATGCTGTGGATTTACTTAAAAAAAAAAAAAAAAAAACCTATAGGGCAGAGTGTAGAAAAGGGGAATATAAATAAAACAAAATTTATAACATGTTGCTCATTTATAGAAGTGGGAAAAATGGGTACACAGGAGTTTAAGATAGTATTTCAGTCTGAAATTTTCCATAATTATGCAAAATAATACCCAATTATCAGAATTGGAACTGTAAATAAATCTCCTTTGAATCATTTTTTTTAAAAAGGTGGAACTTAAAGGTTAACCATCCTATTAAGTGTGATTTCTAAGAAACCATGCTGCCCCTTCCTAATATTCATTTCCTGAATACATTATGATTGCTGAGGACAGTATTAACAGACTTACCTCTAGGGTTAACAGTGACGTTCTATTCAGAAAATTCCTCCGACAATATGTGATTTCAGAACGGTAGCCCCCTTCTTGCCGTGCTTTCTTCCATCTAGATAAATATGTCAATAAATGAACAAAGTTCACCATGTTTCTTTTCCAAGCTCCTTTTCAGAGGTGGCAACTCAAATAAGGCTTAATTTATTTATAATCTTTTACAAAAAAGGCATCTTGCTTATTCTAATAGGCAATTTGCCAATTGTACTTTTTATGTGTAACAGCAAGTTAAGTTGCTTTGAATATGAGAAAAATATATAATACTAATATATTGTTCTTAAATGACTCACTAACATAATTATACCTTGACAGATAAAAGCACTAAGAATAAATTTAAGTGTTTAAATGCATAATTTTAATGACAAAGACATAGTAAAAACAAAAAGCAGAGGTGTCACTTAGGGTTGGGCATTTTACAGACACTTATTCTGGGTATGTGACCAGTTGTGGAACTCTGTAATAATCTCCATCTGTTGCAAAAAAAAAAAAAAAAAGGTTCTCTGATGAGTGGTGGCTGGCTTACTTGTCTGTAAATATAATGATCCATATTTAATATATAGGAAGAAATTACATTTGTCTAGGGATGTGACAAACTTAGGGTTTTCTCTAAGATCTATGACCTCTCCAGCCATGTGTTATTTGGCTATGTTTATAGTACCACACATGAGTTCCCTCCCATTGAGTGGGCTCTAAGTCCAATTAGGTTAACTGTTGATTACCCCCAAGATAAAAGTGTTACTACTGCACCAGTATCATTTGCTGTGCTGGTAATTGTAGTATTTATTAGGCTTTAAAGCTGGGGTTGGACCATTGATTAATGTTCTCCCTTAGCAGTTAGCATAGTCTGTTCCAAAACTATGAGAGCTAGCCTTCAGGAGGAGGCTTCCAGGTCAGTTCCAGCTTCATTGCTCCAGTCTTGTGTCTGAAGTATGTCCTATCTTCAGCAATAGGGTCTTTCTTACCAATGGAACCTCTACACCTAAGGCTAATGGAACATAGTGGAACAAGGGATAGAGAGAATACTAATGCATCACTCAGCTCTCATCAACAAAGCTCCCTTATACAACAGAGGACAATGAACCCAAAAGGCTACAAATGGCCAAAATGTAAAGAATAAGAATCTGCAGAGTGTGGGTCCTTGGACAAGACTCCTATATTAAACTCCACCCACTCAGAGCTTGAGGATCATTGCAAAGATGAGCCAGGGAAGAGGTGCATGACCATAGGGAAATAGAACCCCACATGCTCATCAGACCTTGCTCATATGAACCTACAGCAATAGTGTCAGCATGCACAAGACCCATACAAACTCAAGCAGACAAAAACCCAGAATAGAACTGGGAAAATGGGCAGTAGCCTCAACCTTAGCCAAAGAAATACTGGTAGTTGATTACTGCCACGTGAGGGACAGTTGATCTTCTTTATGGGAGTTAACTCTAGATAAGCTGACTAGACCCCAGTGGATGAACTTGTAGTGACGGACATCTGGGGATACTAACTTGACTGGACAGGGCTTAACATAAGTGACAAAATGCATGAAATGGGGGGGGAGCAGATATGGATATGGGAAGGTGCAGATGGGGAGGGGTATAAAGATGATTAAGATGCTTTGTATGAAATACACAAAAATTCAATAAAAATTATACAAAACAAAAAGTAAATAATTTCCGGTTATTGCTTAATGAAAACACTCAGGTTATTTCTTTACCCTAGATATGCATTGTAGATCGTAAGGTGGTCTGAATCGGCCACAGCCAAAGCTGATTTTGCAAGATCTGCTTCCTCTTTCCGACCAATTGGTGTGGTAAATGGAGACTTCTCTGTCATAACTGCTGCTAGTGTTGCCTATCCATAAATAACATAATTAGTAAAGAGGTACAAACTCAAAGCTGTTAAAAAATAATCCCACATTAAGTTGCCTGTTTCTTATTTCCAAGACGTAACATTTACCACAGCTAACTTAAAATTTCACAGTAAGTAGTTCCTTTTAACTTCATTTTATGGAACTTAAAATGTACAAATGATTATAGTCTGTCATTTAGTTACAAGCAATCTCAAGATCATAGCTCAGTGATTTTTGACCTCTGGCTGCTAAATTTCCACTGGCTACAATGCCTTTTTTTTTTTTAACAGCT